CGTACTGAATTGATCCTAGAATGATGTCTGCCATGTTTGAAGAAAATCGGTCCAGATTTAGATATAGCTCCCATATATAGTTTCGTCCGATTTCATGTAAATGATGCCCCAAAGTCCCTATATATCTTTCGATTGGCACAAAATTTGACATAACGTACTGAATTGAGCCTAGAATGATGTCTGCCAAGTTTCGAGAAAATCGGTCCAGATTTAGATATAGCTCCCATGTATAGTTTCGTCCGAGTTCATGTAAAGGGTGCACCAAAGTCCCCATATATCCTTCGATTTCCACTAAATTAGGTATAACGTACTGAATTGAGCCTAGAATGATGTCTGCCAAGTTTCGAGAAAGTCGGTCCAGATTTAGATATAGCTCCCATATATAGTTTCGTCCGATTTCATGTAAATGGTGCACCAAAGTCTCTATATATCCTTTGATTTGCACTAAATTAGGTATAACGTACTGAATTGAGCCTAGAATGATATCTGCCAAGCTTCGAGAAAATCGGTCCAGATTTAGTTATAGCTCCCATATATAGTTTCGTCCGATTTCATGTAAATGGTGCCCCAAAGTCCCTATATATCATTCGATTTGCACGAAATTTGGCATAACGTACTGAATTGATCCTAGAATGATGTCTGCCATGTTTCAAGAAAATCGGTCCAGATTTAGATATAGCTCCCATATATAGTTTCGTCCGATTTCATGTAAATGGTGCCCCAAAGTCCCTATATATCTTTCGATTTGCACAAAATTTGACATAACGTACTGAATTGAGCCTAGAATGATGTCTGCCAAGTTTCGAGAAAATCGGTCCAGATTTAGATATAGCTCCCATGTATAGTTTCGTCCGAGTTCATGTAAAGGGTGCACCAAAGTCCCCATATATCCTTCGATTTGCACGAAATTTGGCATAACGATAATGATTTAGATATAGCTCCCTTTTATTATAGATTGATTTTAAGTAATTGACGCGACAAGTAACCAATAGGGCGATAGGAACAAAACGTTCTGAAATTAGGATAACCTAATCAACTTCCATATATAAATTTCAAGTAAATTGGGCATCAAACTCCTCATGTTAGTCAGATTGACATCAAATTCTGCACAACGTACAAAAATGAGCCTAGAATTACGTAGTTGCGTTTTATTGAAGTACAGACATTCCCCAACGGATGACCTATTTATATTTGTTTGAAGTCGATTTACATACTTTTGCCCCATTGTAACATACGAATGACATGTTAATGGATAGATCTAGGTAGATTCACATTTAGATAAATATCACATATTTTATTTCATCCAATTTCATATTAATAGTCCTGTTTAATATACCCATAGTGGTGAAGGGTATCATATAGTCGGCCCCGTCCGACTTTACTACTTTCCTTACTGGTTTATACACAAATTTGCATAGTTTGAAAACAACATGTATTACATCTTTCTACTCTCTCTGCCTGTCGCCGTCTCTGCAACGCCCTCTTTGGTTTTCTGAAACCAACTTTAACTTTTATGCCCACTTTAGGGCACAGCAACTACCAAAAGTCACAAAAGCAGATAAAATAAGTGTTAATTGTAAAGCAAAAGAAGAACATACGACGACAACAACTAATGTATAATCTTGCAAGGAAATCCACAAAATATTGTTGCAAGGACGAAGTTTGCCTGGAAAAACTCAACGTTTTCCCTCTAGTGCTGTTGGCCTTGTTGTCTCTGTCATTTTTCTTGGTTAAAAAGTAAAGCCAGATTTCTGACAAAAATAAAAAAAAACCCCAAAAAAGTATAAGAACCAAACTCATAAAATATACGAACGTATGTAGGTATCTGCTATGTAAATATGTTTGAGTTTGCCGCAAACAAACAAAAAACAAACAACCGAACGAAGGAAAAAAAAACAAAACTTACCAACTACTTGTAAATGCACCCGAGCACTAACTTTTGGCTCTGTTGACACTTGACATTCATAGGCACCAGCATCACGGGCCTGCACATATTTTATTTGCAATGTCCAAAATTTGTCGGGTTGTTTCAAAGCCAAAAATCGTTGGTCAGCAATGAAGACAGCTCTGCGAAAAAAGGAAAAGAAGATGGAGAAGAATGAAATTCAATATAATTAAAATATATTTTGAGTGTTTGATGGATAGAAATATCGAGAAATCAAAAAAAAAAAAAATACCAGTAAGGAAAGAAGTAAAGTCGGACTGGGCCGACTATATGATACCCTTTACCACTTTGGGGATATTCTACATATGTATATTAACAGATGTCATCTGTTCGAAGGAATATTGACAAGAAATTGAACGAACTTTAATATCCGATCTTTATCTAAAAGTAAACCAACTATAATCAATGCTTACAGATGTCATTCTGCAGTCTATTCCATACTTTGTAAATAGATTTTAAGCAAACTTTACGCACGCTATTTACAATCAACATGAATAGGTCGAAATTATGTATGGAAGCTATGCTATATCTAAATCTGAACCGATTTCAAGGAAACTTGCCCGAGATTAATTTATATCAATTTCAGTACGTTTTGCCAATCGACCTAGCTATGGGTCTCTAGTACATCATTTACTTAAAATCGGACGAAAGTATATATAGGAGCTATATGTAAATTTGAACCAATTTCAAGAAAACTTGACACGAACGGTTATAGTAACTTCAGTACATAGTACACAATTTTGTGTGTGTCGGGCAATCTTTGGTTCTTTAGTGCACAATTTACATTAAATCGGACAAAAATATATATTGGAGCTATATCTAAATCTGAACCGATTTTCACGAAACATAGCATACATCATTCTGGACCCAATTCAGTACCCTATGCCAAATTTCATGCAAATCGAAAGATATATAGGGACTTTGGAGACCCATTTTCCTTTAATCGGACGATAATATATATGGGAGCTATATATAAATCTCACCCGATTTCCTCGAAACTTGGCACACTTCATTCTATACTTAATTCAGTACCCTATGCCAAATTTCGTGCAAATCGAAAGATATATAGGGACTTTGCTGCACCATTTACCTTAAATCGGACGAAACTATATATGGGAGCTATATCTAAATCTGAACCGATTTTCTCGAAAATTAGCACACACCATTCTGGACCTTTTTCAGTACGCTGTGCTAAATTTCATGCAAATTGAAAGGTATATAGGGACTTTGCTGCACCATTTACCTAAAATCGGACGAAACTATATATGGGAGCTATATCTAAATCTGAACCGATTGTCATGAAACTTAGCACACATCATTCTACACTTAATTCAGTACTCTATGCCAAATTTTATGCAAAGCGAAAAATATAGGGGAACTTTGGTGCCCCACTTACCTTAAATCGGACGAGAATATATGGCAGCTATATCTAAATCTAAACCGATTTTCACGAAACTTAGCACACATTATTCTACACTTAATTCAGAACTCTGTGCCAAATTTCATGCAAATCGAAAGATATAGAGGGACATTGGTGCCCCATTTACCTTAAATCGGAAGAAAATATATATGGGAGCTATATCTAAATCTGAAACGATTTTTCCCAATTTCAAATTAGTCAAATTAGCCAAATTAGTGACTTGTGCCAAATTTCATCCAAATCGGATCATAAATGCGACCTGTGCTTTGTTTACAATTTAACATCTACAGACGGACGGACGGACATGCATAATTCGACTCAGAAAGTGATTCCATGCATATTCTCAAAAGGAACCATGTGTCTATCTCGTTTCCTTCTGCCTGTTACAAACATATGCACAAAACATAATATCCTGTACCACAGTGTGGTGAAGGGGATAAAAAACAAGCATTGTTTATAGAATAATATAATTTGCGAGTTCAGAAATGTACGCAAACGACTCTAAATCTACCCGAATGAAATCAATTTTAGCATAGGTTGCAGAATGGCATATGTTCGGATTGATGTTAGTCGGTTCGCATATAGATAATGATAATATATTTAATTTCCTTCCATTATATGCCAATGTTCCTTCGGAAAGGCGACATCTGTTAGGATACATTGTCGACTATATCCAAAGTAGGGGAGGGTATCATATAGTCGGCCCAGACCGACTTTGCTGGTTTTTCAATGACCAACTAAAATAATAAATAATATGTTTTAAATAATATGTTTTCAAGGGCCATTATGGCGTACATTTCAAAGAATTTTTTTCAAGGACCAGTAGGGCGTTCATTTCATACTATTATTTTTTCAATGACCGTCTACAAATACTTCCCTGTCATTAGCACATCTATAAACGAATATCTCAAGTCGTTCCTATCTATGTATTATCACACCTTCCGCCCATCTATAAAGATTACCTGGGTTTCAGATCATCTATAAAACACCATGAACTTAAGATCGCCTACAGATAGTCTCTGGCTTTCAGATTATATTCAAAGGCTACGAACGACTTCCTGCATTTAGATCGTCTATAAGGAGCCTTCAAGACATCTATAAAGACTCTCGGAGCTTTATGGTCTCCAGATAGAGTCCCCGGCTTTCAGATCGTGTAGGAAGGCCACCAGGCCTACAGACTGCCAATAATAAGTTATTGACCTTTATAGGTTATAAAAGACTTCTTGGTTTTCAGCTCGTCTATAAAGAGTGTCCGGCCTTCTGGTCATTTATAAAGATTACGTGAACTTCAGCCCCTCTATGAAATACAACCTCGCCTTATATGTGTATACCTATATAATATGTAAACATTCACATAGTATTTTCTATTTACTTACTACACTTTACAACGTATCTAAGAGCTAAAAATAAGCAAGTTGAAGTTTTTAAGCTATATAAAAATCTGTATACATGTATGTGTATGTGAAATCAAAACATCAATAAAAATTTTAGTTTACCCAGTAAGTAAGTAAGTAGCCAAACAAACAAATAAACACACAAACACAAAGTAATAAAATCAATCCTTACTTCGAATACTTCCTTTTCGAAACGAAAAATACCGTATATATTTACAGATTTCCACAAGATTTTCGACAATTCATTTCACATACATAAATACATACATATGTATTCTGAAAAGTGTATGTGTCTTTACTTATGGTTAGTTATATACTCTGTATAACTCTTAAGGTTACCAAACGAATTTCACAGATGATTGCATTTAGGGCCAAATGCTAGTTGAATGATCCCGATGTACGAAAGGGTCAGTTTGAAAGAATTTGTTGTATGGGTAGGTTTTTTGTAGATATTTTACTTGAAATGCGTACTAAAATTGTGAGAGCACAAAATGACAAATTATAGCTATTGCGGTTGCAATATATCCCAAAGACTTTAAAAGTACCTAAAATGCGGCGGCCTTAAAATAACCAGTAAGGAGAATAGTAAAGTCGGCCAGGACCGACTATATGATACTATATGAACCGACTAACATCAGTCCTAATATATGCCAACCTGCAATCTATGCTAAATTTCATTTCATTCGGGCAGATTTAGAGTCGTTTGCGTACAATGGGACAAATTTGTGTAAATCGATTTAAAGCAAACATAATAAACGCTCTTTGGTATGCTGCACTGTTAACTAGTAAGGAAAGTAGTAAAGACGGACTGGGCCGACTATATTATACCCTTCACCACTTTGGGGATATTCTACATATGTATCCTAACAGACGTCGCCTTTTCTAAGGAACATTGACATGAAATTGAACGAACTTAAACATGCGATCTTTATCTATAAGTAAACCGACTAACATCAATTCCAACACATGCCATTCTGCAACCTATTCTAAATTGTGTTAATAGATTTAAACCACACGCACTGCTTAAAATGTATCTATCAGGCACCCATTGATTATTTGGTGTACAGCCAACATAAATAGGTCGAAATTATGTATGGAAGCTAATCTAATTTCTAATCTGATTTCAAGGAAACTTCCTAGATATTAATTTTTATTAATTTTTGTACGTGTATGGGTCTGTATGGGCCTTTAGTGTACCATTTACTTAAAATCGGACGAAATTATATATAGACGGTATATGTAAATCTGAACCAATTTCCAGAAAACGTGGCACTCGAAACAGTAGCAGTACATTGTACTAAATTGTGTGCCGACCGGCCAATCATTAATCAATATATATTTTAAATCGGTTGAAAATATATATTGAAGCTACATCTAAATCTGAACCGATTTTCACGAAACTTAGTACACATCATTCTGAACCTAATTCAGTAACCCATGCCAAATTTCGTGCAAATCGGAAGATATATAGGCACTTTGGGGCCCCATTTACCTCAGATCGGACGAAACTATATATGGGAGCTATATGTAAATCTGACCCGATTTTCTTGAACGCTGTGCCAAATTTCGTGCAAATCGAAAGATATATAGGGACTTTGGTGCACGTTTTACCTTAAATCGGACGAAATTGTATATGGAGCTATATCCAAATCTGAACCGATTTTCTTGAAACTTGGCACAAATCATTCAGGACCCAATTCAGTACTCTATGCCAAATTTCGTGCAAATCGAAAAATATGTGGGGACTTTGGTGCACCATTTACCTTAAATCGGACGAAACTATATATGGGAGCTATATATAAATCTGAACCGATTTTCTCGAAACTTAGCACACATCATTATGCACCTAATTCAGTACTCTATGCCAAATTTCGTGCAAATCGAAAGATATATAGCGACTTTGGTACACCATTTACGTTAAATCGGACTAAAATATATGGGAGCTATATCTAAATCTGAACCGATTAGGGTTCGTCCTTGGTCCAAATAAGTGACCTGTGCCAAATTTCATCCAAATCGGATAATACATGCGACCTGTACTTTGTTAACAAAAATACATGGACGGACAGACAGACGGACAGACGGACATGCATAAATCGACTCAAAAATATAATTTCAATCAGACCCGAATACATATGGAAGCCATGACAGCATCCCCACCAATTTCAACAATCGGACTAACATTAGGAGCTTGGTACACAATTTTTGTAAAATCGGACGAATATATATGTATATGTGGGAGCTTTATCGAAATCTAAACCGATTTTTTCGGAAACATACCGCACATCATTCTAGACTCAATTCAGTA